TGAGGCCGATGCAACCCCCTGATAATAGAAGATACACATTATGGGCAGAGGGCATCTCAAAAGGAATTCCCTGGGAGATGATGCACGGGTTACCCACTCCCAGTTTGAAAAATTTGGTGAGAGGATGGGACAAGATAAAGGGAACCCCATCCCCCTCAAAACCCAAGGACCTTTCCCTCCAGTCCCAGGAACACGGAACAGTAACCCTGTCCTCTCCCCTGGAAGAGTGCGTTGATTGATTTAAATGTCCCCGAGTCAGAAGACCCCCTCTGCCATCCCCAGTAAGTGAGCTGGTAGATGGCCAGTGGACCTACATGAGAAAGCTCACGGAAAGTATCAAAGGAGACTTGTTGATTACCTTTCCCCTAGGCCCTTTAAAACTCCAGTCACATTTTTGGTAGATACAGGAGCACAGTGTCAGCTCTCTGGACAGACGTTGCTAACTGCAACAGAATCATTGCTGACAAGAAACAAACAGATGTTTTGGGGAATTCTAAGACACAGCCTACCACCCAAGTGAAGTGCTGGCTGCCGGGAGATACATCTCCGGTTGAAGTCACAATGACATTACGCTCATTGCCCATAAACATTTTAGGACTGGATTTATTGAAGGGGAAGGCGTGAGTAGACTCAAAAGGAAGGGAATGGAAATTCCGACTCCCCGAGGCTTTGGTAAGACTTTTACAGTTGGTGCGTGCACTTCCTCCTTCTAAACTACTCAGTGTAAAACCCTGAGACCTCATGAACCTGGGTGGACATGGCAAATGTCAGATGCAGCATATAGAGTCAATAACTGCTGGGGAATTAACAGATGCCCATGACTTACTGCATTTTGTCCTAAACCTCCACCTGTACTCCCTGGGAAAAGGGAGATTAAAGACCCTATGAACCTGCTCTGTTATCCAGAAGATGAAAGAGGGTCAGAGCAGACCAGAGAACTTTTCCAGGCAATGCAGCTGAAGGATCGGTTTAACAGCTGAGATCCCAGATTTTGGTTCACCTCTCTCCTAATTCACTGGGACTTACAGGTTGGGGCAAGTGGCTTTTAAATATTGTTACACTGTTGGGCTGTGGGTTCTTGTTCTTGATGATCGGCCTTGCAATTGTAAAATGTACGATCTCGCAAATTCTATCTTCTCTATCCTCTCTCCCTCCTATCCGTTACATGAGAATCACCACACTGGATGAAGATTATACAACGTTTGAGCCACAGGGTGGTGTGAGAGACTGAAAGAGTTAATGTATGCTGATGTCTCAAACATTGTGGCGAGACAAGTTAAGGTCTCCACAGAGACAAATTGGGGTCTGCAGAGCACCACTGACCCACAGGTGAGAAGGCAGCTGGCACAGAGCCGGGGCCATACAGTCCCACCTCCTGATGTGCCTTGCAACTCACTGTGTACGGCCGGAAGGCATGTGGAGTTCATTTGAGGAGGGGGCTCACGACCACCTGAAAGACCCCTTGTGACCACCCCACACAATGACGCCATGCACAGAAGAGGAAGAACATTCTGGAACAAGAACCATATAAGTCCTCGAGGGGGTGACACCGGAGGCGGGGACTGGCCTATAAAAGACACAACTCTGAGGAGCCACGTGCACACCCACCACTGGAGAATTGCCACGTTTACCATCGACATTGCGGGATCCAAAGGTGGTGATCTCTCTCTCCCCACACTTTTCCTTCCTCCCCACCACTTTCTTCTTATAAGCATTCCAATTAGAACCCACATTGCCTACCGTTACGCTTTCCTAGTTGAGGTTGCCTACTGTTATGCTTTCCAAGTTCACGTTGGTTTTTACCATCAGTAAAGTGTTTAATTGGGTGTTTGATGTCGTTTCACCTTAATTCAGCCCAAGGGAATTGCAAAACCACCACAATCCTCCCTGGGCAGCCCAGTTTGGTTCTTGACACTCACCCATACAGCACTAGCTGTTTACAGACAGTGTCCACCCAAACCAGCGTCCTCAGAGTGACAACTGAGACGTATCAAGAAACCTTTCCAAGAGGAGAGCTAGCCTACAGCAGGGCATCCTGACCTTGAGCCTCAGCTTGCTACATCACCCCCAAATCCAACTCCCCATCAGGGATAACTGGATGCATGAGAGGGAGCCATAAGATGCCACTTTGCACATCCAGGAAACACTCTGCTCGTTCACAGCCTCCAAGGGCAGTTTGTGTTGCCAGCCTGGATAGTAGAGGGCAGCTTCAGAGAATAAGGCAAACCATCACAGACCTCACACAAGACGAACATCAGGACCAGCCCCTTGCCAAAGGCAGCCATTCAACACCTCCTTAACACTTCACAGCTTTGTGAGTGCAACTAAATGTGGCACCACTTCTGTTTTGCCTGTGAGCAGTAGGCTAAAAAAATGCCTCTCCTGTCCCTCTAGGGAATGGGTGGGAACCAAGGATTTTCCAGATGGAAGATGAAGTGAAAAGTGGGCTCAATCCTTCCCTTGTTCTGGGGAGCTTGGTCTGCAGCACTCAGCAGCGGGCATTTGCTACCAAACAGGCCTCAAGCACGTGCCAACAACTTAACCCCAGTCAGCACGGTGCAAGCACCCCTCATACTTTTTGACATGAGCATATGGAGGAGTGTCAGGAAATCAGGCAATTTTCTTCACAGGCAATACGATGAAGACGACAGGCCGGAGGCAAGAGACTAAGATAGCTTATTAAAATCCAATACTGCAACCGTCTGCAGGTTAAAAAAAAAAAAATCTAAAGTATATTCCTATATCAGTAGGGCTCTACAGCTGTTTTGTAAAGCAGAAGCAGGTGTCAGTGATGTCAGCTAGAAAAATGAGCTGCTGCTTCCTCCTCCCCATCCCCAAAGGAATTATCTGCATAAAGAAGACACATCCTAATAAGCACAAGAAGAGTGTATAAACCCCAGCTGGCCTTCAGTTGATCTCACAACCATCTGAATTTTGCTTTAAGTGAGAGGAATTTTACTACAGATCTGCTCCACATTTTCCTAAACTTTAAGAATGTGTGTTTAATCTCACAACCTTCAATACCCTCAAGAAAGAAGCACCTCTATGTATAGGTACATCACAGATATTTCCTTTAACTTTCCTTCCACTACTAATATTTTTACTTTAACGTGACTCCCATAACATGCCACACATCAGCTTATCACAAGAGAAATTATCTGTAAGCTTACCGCCATTCTCCATGCTTTGTTCAGCATTAGCATATGTACGAAGAAACTCAGCAAAAGCCCCATCTTGCTTCAACAGCTCCTGGTAGGAGCCCATCTCAGAGATTTCTCCATCAGTCATTACCAGAATTGTATCCATTTGAGGCAGATAGTTGATTGCATGGGTTACCAAAACCCGTGTCTAAATAGCAAAAGAAGAAAAAAGTTTTTCTAACATCTCAACATCTCAAATTAGTAAATACAATGGTTGAACTAGTGGTCTTGCTGCTTAAATTCTGTGTATAACACAGTAATAACTACTGACAGGCATGCAGCATTTTTAAGAAAAAATACTGTTCTTGTCTTGATTTTTGCATCAAGGAATTTTGAATTACAGAAACCAGAGCACATTTCATTATAAAAACCTCAGTGTTTTATAAAAGTCCTCTAAAAATCTCAGATGGATCCTTTCATTTTTCAGATGTTTGAAACCAAAGCCTGAATATGCAACTTGACAAACTTGGAATCATTTGAACTCAAAGAAAAACAAATCATTCTCTAGAGACAAGTATCTCATTATGACATACTTTATTTTTCAGGATTCCTTTCGGTCCAATAACTTTTTCAAAAATATGTTTTCCAACATGAGCATCAACAGCTGATAAAGGATCGTCAAATAAATAGACATCTGCATTACAGTAAACCGCCCGAGCAAGACTGACTCGCTGTTTCTGTCCTCCAGACAAATTCACACCCTGGGGAAACAAGAAAATACGATCCTTTATTTACAGCTGAAAAGAGATGTCTTGCTACAGTCTGTGAAAGACACAAGTCAAAGGTGGTTAACACAAATAAATTTCAACATGGTATGAAGCAAATCTCCATCACAAATAATTCCACTACCAAAACAGCATAAGTAATCACAGTCAAAATCCTCTTGGAAGGAAGCACGTCTATTAAGTTCTCCCTGTCAGTGAGGGCTAGTCAAAAAAAGCCTGTTTGCTAGTCTTGTAGAGCAATTAACCCAGACTGACCTACCTAACTGTACATTCAGAGGCTACTTTTCTTCTCAGCTGTATTTCTGCAGTGCTGCCTCTAATCTAATAAACAAACTCTTTTCACACTCTACAATTTGGTTGGCTTGCTGACCAATAAGGAAGATAAAGCTGCACCCTTCACTGAATCTGGGGCTGTCAGTTGCAGCTATACCCGCCTATAACTAGTCAGCAGGCAAAGCACGTACCCCTACATATCCCTGTCTTCTGGAGAACATCAGCTTAGCAGAACGCCAAGCAGGTTACATACACATACCTTGCTGGCCACATGGTATGGGGACACCCAGTCCTGCTCCCATAGCAGAGCACTACAACATCTACACAAGTTTCTAAATCCCACACCCCACACACTTTTGCAACCAGGTGCCAGTTTTAGGGCAGTGGTCGATTTTGCGGTTTGGGGGGAAGGCTAGAGTTTGGGGAGGGGGGTTGTTTGCTTGTTCTAAAAGAAACTGAAGCATTCAAAAGATTCTTCTCTTTCTGCTTCCATACATTTTTCTGCTCTATGACCATGGCAACTTAAGAAACGATTAAAAACGTTTGCATCATTGCAAGATGTTTTTGCATTGGTAATTGAGGACAGGTTTCCTCCCCTTTGAGGCTTAAAGACAAGAAAAACATACTGTTCAAATATGCCCCTTATTCTAGAGGATTCCTACTCTGAATGTTTTCAATTCAATACGACTTTAAGATGAAGTAGAAGTCATATGGCCTTAACTACAAGCAATAGCACTGTTACCACAGAGTGAGTATTTAAATACCTTTTCTCCTATTTCTGTTTTGTCTCCCGTAGGAAGAACCTCTATATCAGGCAGCAGCGCACAAGCCTCAATCACACGCTTGTACCGGCTCTCATTCATCTCCCTTCCAAAGATAATGTTGTCTTCCAGAGTTGCATTTTGGACCCAGGCTTGCTGAGGAACATAGGCTACCGAACCCTGCAAGAAAAATAAAAGTTCCTTATTCAGTACTTTAGACCAAAAGTCTGCACACAAAGTCAAAGCACAGCAGGACTTTGTGAGGCAGGCTGTGCTAATCACCTCACTAATTGCCTAGGGTCATTTCAAAACTGCACGAAGTAGTTCTTGGGCTACCGCCTCCTCCAAAACGTTGTTTTTATAATCCTCTATACAAGTGAATGTAACAAAGTGTGCTGGTGGAAAATAAAGGACTTCAAACAAAATATGATTCTCTAACATAAACTTGGAGGAAACTTTTGTTTAGAGAATATGCTTGCACAATTACTCAATGTCAAAAGTCATTAGTACTTTCATATAGTTATAAATTATGTTCTGCATTAACAATTTAATCTGGAATCCAAGTGTTTCACCACCCCTGCTAAAGATTTCTGCACAAAGTAGGGGAAGTAGTTTCTATATAAAAGTCACTTCAAAGGAAGAGATTGAGCTACTGCAAAGTATTTTGCTTTGAAGATTAGTTCTGCCTTCTCCTTCTGCACAAATAATCAGTGATTCAGATCTCACCTACTTTATTTTTCCAGAGCAATTTTGGAGGTGACCAAATGTGCATTCTTTTAAATGCAACGTATTTGTTTTGCTCTTAAAATAATTCTCTTTCCATACATTACAGCAGCAGCAAAATTCAAAACAAGGAGTTCTTACTTATTTACATACTTACTTCCAGGTCATTTTTCCTCTGTGAGCTCTGTACAACTCTGATGTCTTAAGAAAGTACAAACTACAACAGCAGCTTTTACCATGTTTGGGTATCTGAGTATACCCTCTCTCCTTGTAATTCTCTGATGTCTAAGAAGGTATGAACCAATACTGCTCTTCCTCAGGCTGGACTATGTATAATAGCATCTCCCCGCCTCATACCTGGCTGCCAACAAGACTCTGGACCAGAGTACTTATCTTTGACTCCTCCATCATTCTGTCTATTTGGCTAAATCTGAGACCAACAGATTTAGAAGTTGTTGGGTCAAGGCTTAACAGGCAATTACACAGAGCGCAGGCTAAGGCATATACATGGCTTGCCAGAAACCAGGCTAAAAAATGCATTCATTTGAAAGGCTGTCTCTTCCCCTCTTCACACTACTTGGAAATCTAGAATCCCTCTGGCAATACCCACAAATAACTGAACAATTCTTCAGACACATCACACCTTGACAACCACGTAGCCTTCCTTTTTGTCCATCTCCCCCAGTAATGCAGACAGCAATGAAGACTTTCCACAGCCAACTTGACCAACAACAGCTACCAGGGAGCCTTCAGGAACAGTGAAATCAATGCTGAAATAAAGTGCACATAATTCAGCCTTGCTTGCTGGCACATCCCAGCGGTTAAACAGTCTATTGAACAGCCCATATAAAGACAGATGCAATGCGAACACCCACTGCAAATGCTGACACAGCACAGAAACTTTAACTGTTTGAAAATGCAAACCTCTCATTCAGAAAGCACCCAGCTCTTCTTATACTTAGGATATGTATGTAATTAGTCAAAAGGGGAAGAAGGAAAAAAAAAAGCACTGTTACACCACCTGTCCAATATTTCTCTCAAATTTTCTGTGAACACAAATGTAAATATCAGTGGATGCTTCCCAAACAGCATCCTTGTCCCAAAGAATACACAATTTAAGGCCCAAGAAAGAGCAACCAAAATTAAGGAAGGGCACAGGGTACAGGGAAGACACAGCTTGTAGCTGCATCACCCCAGTTACTTTGTTAGTCATACCATGTGCACGGTTCTTCACTGGCTTTCTCCAGCATGGGAATCAAGGATGGCTACAGTTCAGCGAGAGTAAGACTTTAAAAGGAAGACTGAGAACACAGCGCAAACATAAGGGACTACGGATAATTACGAGAGGCTAATCTGGCTGCATCCTCTAGATGGAGCTCATCCCATCTGCAGCACATAACAAGAGCTTGAAATCTCTGAGGCTTTCTTTCCTCCCATTACACCTCTTGGTACTCCCCTTTACGCATTCCATACATAAAACATACTCTGTAAATTCCTCTAGTTCATAAAGCCCCTGGTTTAAAAAAAAGATATAGAACAAATGTTATTTGTTCTCCTGTTTCTTTAAGGCAACAAACTCTTCTGCATATAGATTTTGTAATTCAAATACAGATCATTTATGATGCAGCAAGATTACAGAGCAGAACAAAGGGTACTAATTCTTACCTGTTCAGTAAAGGAGGATCATTTCTGGCCCAGCTAAACGTTGCATTCTTTACGACAATGCTTCCTTCAGCTGACAAATAGAAAATTCATATTTATAAAAGTGCCAACGCAAGCAGCTGAATTGTATGCTCTGGACCATGCCACAGAAGTCAATCTAAGCACACATAGGCAGAGGTATAAAGCTACTTTTCCAGCAGAACAACAACCCACTGCTTACCAAAAGCTTCTGTTCTGCTTTTACTGAATTTATGAAGACAGCAGAGGTTCTGAGGTTACACCTATTGAATAACCAGGAGGTACATGAATGTCAACTGTACAAAGATCCTGACTACACTCAGCTGCATTGTGCTTTATCCAGCAACTCCACTGCAGCACTGCAAAGTCAGTTCAAGAAACTAGCAGCCTCAATCTGACTTGTGCTTCAATGCAAGCATCAGCTAACCGGCCAATTCCGTATGTGAAGCCAAGTTACTACAAGAATGATAGGGCAAAATAAATCTAACTACCAAATAAAATAACTTTGACCAAAAGTACTGTTCAGAGAAATGGCACCTGTAGATTTTTACAGTGACAACTCAAAATTACCGCTCCTAATTCAACCAAGTATACAATAAATACTTAGCCTAGGTAAATATTTACATTAGTATGCAAGTATAACCCATTATGGACCAAAAAAACCCCACACACTAAAGATTTGTGAGCAATGTATTCATGGTTATCAGCTGAGAAAGAGGAAGAGATATTCCCAAAAGGAAAATG